AAGCAACAGACTGAAATTGCAAGTAAGTGCTATATGATAGTTTGCCCAGTCCTGGTAATTCACCTTGGGAAGGTGTATTCATGCAGGTACTGGTCCCATGGATACAGCAGTCCTACTGTACTGGGGAGCCATGGCCAGTAAATCAAGGGAGCCACAGGTCAAGAAAGTTTGGGAACCACTGCCCTTATCTATGCTCACATGGGGATGCAGGGAAGCTTGGCAGAGTATCAGTGATAGAGTGTGGTACTAACTGAAACCTATCTGTTGTAGTCCACCAGTTTCAAGAATTCCCCCAATCCAGTGAGCTTCCAGTAGCATATATGCATTTTCTCCCCATGGTGGTTAAGCCCTTGCATGGAATTCACAGACAAAATGTAATTTGCAGCCATTATACTCTTGATTTATTGATTATTGCAGATTTCAGTAACAGTAGCTGTTCCACAACTGGACCTGTCAAATTTATAGCAGTTTCCTATGTATGTAAACTTATTAGGTATAATTTTTCATTGTGTGGTCCAAAATTACACCATGTGTGGCATGTCTTTCCAACACCTCTTCCAGATCTCTGATCAGTCTTGTTGGATGGTTTTGTGGAATAGTTTTCAGCAATAGGTTTTGTGGAAGAATTTTTGTTTTGTTTTGTTTTATCCATGTTGTTTTTGTAAACTTTAATATGATACTTTATAACCATAGGAACATACATATCCTTCCCCAGAGAAATGGTTTAAACTTAAAATATGTAAAAGTTGTGTATAGTCCATTGCAGGGACACATGAAGTTTTTCTTTAAAAGCACTGTTGATTGTAGTTGTTAGAAGATTGTGTGTGTTAAACTGTGCTTTTACCTTTGGAGCAGTATGTACAGTATGTCTGCCCAAGACCTTAGGTATAGTTTGCAAGTGATAAGATACTCTAAACACAGGATGATCGTTTGCTTTAGTCAGGTTTAGACTTGTGAATTGATTAAAGACACACCAAATCAAATTATCATGTAGTTGAGGAACAGTTGATTGGGCCTTTTTTTAAAAAAAAAAATTATTCTTCAGTATATGTCTATAATTGCTATTCAACAACAAGAGTTTTTAGGGACAGCAGAAAAATCTCAATTGTATGTTTCAGCTATAGGGCCAGATAGGTTGCAATTAAGTGGCTTGTACTTGACATGTCTAGATGTCAGTTTTGAGACAACGTTGAACAAAATAGGCATGAAGTATATCGATCCTTATTCAATGCCCTCTGTTTTTGTCTGTGCATAGTCATTTCCATTGTTTATAATTATTAAACCCCATATGGAAATAGCAATTTTTACTGAACCATATATTGAACCATATGCTTGATTTTGAAAAAGCGCACTTAAAGGTAGCCAGAAATGCTTATTAACCTACTTTGTGTGTCAGCATTGCACAGAGCAATCCCCATGTGCTTCTGTTTTCAGTATCTATTGTGCTGTTCCTGTGTAAGTGAACTTAAGGAGGGCACATATAATATGACTTAATTTTCTGAGCAACATAAAAGCAGTGATATTTTCCTTGAATATTTTAAATACTCGTCTCTCTTATGGTTGTTGTGCGTTTTCGGGCTCTTTGGCCATGTTCTGAAGGTGGTTCTTCCTAACGTTTCGGCAGTCTCTGTGGCCGGCATCCTCAGAGGACAGCACTGAGTGCTGTCCTCTGAAGATGCTGGCCACAGAGACTGGCGAAAAGTTAAGAACAACAACCTTCAGAACATGGCCAAAGAGCCCGAAAAACCCACAACAACCATTAGATTCCGGCCGTGAAAGCCTTCGCAAATACTCTCTCTCTTAATTACTGCCTAGTGTAATGGCCCCGTGATTATACTTGCATGTCACCAATATAAAAATGCATGTACTTCTGCCTTAAAACAGCTTGACATTGGTGCTGAAGCAACTTCAGCTGTTTTGTACACTGTTCTCCGTTTAAATTTTTATAATGTAGGCAAGAAAACACTGTATAAGAAGGCATCCATTGCACAAATTTACCAGTTTGTGACTTGCTTATGTCTCCTCTGACAATTCTATTGGACTGGATCTAGTATAACTATATTGTGGCCTGATATACATATACATAGTGGTGTGGAGTCCTCAGTTTGCAGTAAAGTGTAGTTCTCCTGTGCAACAGTAGAGGCTGCTCGTTATGCTTTTATGACATTGCTTACGTGGCAGTTTTCACGGGCATGTTTTGTACTTTGCCTGGCTGAAAAAAAGTGCATATAAACATAGCTTGATTAATTTATTAAACTAATTTGCATGGTGTCTTGCTCCATAGAGTAATGTCCAGGCAGCTTGATTTATAGTGATGTTCTTGAACAAGTGATTCCATCCTTAAAGCAACTCAGGGAAGGATATGCAATATGGCTTTCTGTTCTGAACAACATGCAGACAATGGTATTTTTAAATAAATTTTAAAAATGGCAAAGTACACATTTTCTGTTCAAATCTGTTTGGTTGCCATGATACAAACAACTAGCTGTTTTTATGGAAAAGTCAAGTACACTTTTGATGTAGGTGAGATTACCAATTGTATGAGAAACACTAAATTGCAGCCATTGGCTTATCTGAGAGGTTATTTGTTGCTTGTAAAGTTTACAATATGCATGGAAAAAGCTGTGTTTAACTTTATGAGACTCTAGAAGATGTTGATGTCTGCCTTTTCCAAGTAGGCATGTATTTATTTATTTATTTATTTATTGCTCTACTGCATCTGTATCTTTTTCTTTTATATATACTAATTTGTGCATAATGTATGATCATTTTCCCTTGCAATAGAAAAAGCTTAACAGGAACTGCAGAAATTTTTAACACTACTTTTCCCATTTTAACTTAACTAAATAAAGCATCTGCTCAAGCTTTTGTCCTGTAATATGTATTTGGGTTGTATGATGTATCTACTATAATTGAAGCCCTTTGGTGTTAGAGCTAGAGGAGGAGCAACAAAAGCTTTCTGGGGCATGGCATTGGCTACAGCTAAGCTCAGAAGTTCATTGGATTGTGTGTCCTGATGTTCAAGACTCTCTAATAGCATCCCATGAACCTAACATGTAGCTAAACAAGCTTTAAGATGAAACTATCTACATCTGCTTTTCAAAGATGGCACATTCTGATTTTTAAGGATCCTATTGATTTCAGACCCTTAAAATCTAGAATCCCAGTAACCCCTGATAGAGCATATCTGTTCTGATTCTGTCTCCCTTGCAAGTTTTCCATGTGCCTATGATGGGGAAATCGAAAATGTTGGCTTTTTGTATTAATGCATATGTAATTATTTCGGTCCTCTGAAATGGTTCTGACTGAATTCTACAAAAATAAATTTAAGCTGTTAACTTCAGTAGGGACATATTTTCCTGTATGCGTGTAACAGTAAACTTGCAGCAAGACAGTCAGATTCCAGATTTTAATAATCAGATTAAAAAATTTAGACATTGACAATCCAAGTGTACATTTTCTTGTCCTGTCAGAACTAAACAGTTGTGAATTATACAGTGCTTGATGGGGATGATCTCCTGGTTTTGTCTGTTATTTGCTGTGGATATAATCAATGTGAAGTGTTTTTAACATCATTTTACATTATGTATTGTAACATTTGTATTGGGAGGATTCAGTCTTACAGATGCTAAGTACCCCAGTCTAGACTATAGAGAGCTCTTGTGCTAGCTGTGTGTTATAAGCAACTTCACAACCACTAGATCTTGTTATGAATTTGAGATGTACATATATAAATAAATATTCTTAAAACTTTTAGCTGGGGTGCTGTGTATATTGTAAAATTGATTCCTTCCATGAAGAAATAATCTGTTCTTAAGGCTTGTTTCATGTTAGGATACAGGTTCAGATTTTCAGATTGTTTGATTCACGTACTAATTTGTAAAGACTAAACTGAACTTTATTATATACACTAGATAAATTGAGGCATCCTGTATCTGTAGTTCAGTTTTAGGTTTTTTGTTTGTATTTTTTTTCACAAATATATCTCTAACCAAGTTCATTTTGAACCTCTTTTAACAGCCTTGCTTTGGGTTAGCCCTCGTTTCTCTTGTGTGGAGGAGAAAGAACCCAAGAGGTTGGGGTTCCTAGTGGCTGAATTTCTAGGGCTTGGCCTGTTCAGAATTTTCCTTTTGGTACCCATGACACACCTATCTTGGCGATGTAGATCTTGGTTGACCCACAGCTCGATTGGCTAGCACAGGTCAACCTCAGGTTCTAGAGCTGCTTCCGGAGACTGTGTTCAGTGCTTTCAGGGTCTCTGGTACATCCCCCTGAAGCACATTGCTATGATCCATTCCTCTGCCCCTCCCATGTAAGGGAGATCCTCTTGGTCTGCTAGGCAATTATTGGACAAGCGACTCTTTGCTTAAGGTACCTGCTTATTTCATCTGACCTCTTGGGGTATATTGTGGTAAGTAGCCTATGGCTATAAAATGTCAGCTATTATTTGGGGCACTTTGTAAAGGTTAATAACTCATAAGCAACTGGTTTTTTAAAATGTATAGCAACTAGTTGTATAGTGTTGCAACATAGACTGAGTCTCAATTACATTAAATGCAAGTCTCTGTTAAAATAACACTGAGGTTGTGACATGGACTGACAAAAGCCAAGAAGCTTGTTACTACTTCCTTTTGGCAGCTTGTGACAGAATCTTAGCATTAACTTAATAAAGACATTTGTGTTTAATTTGTATGGAGGAAGAAGAAAGGAAAATGTTTGTAAGCAAACAGTTAATTGTATAAGTCAAATGAGACTTCAGTTTTGATCAAATGCTTGCATTTAATAACACATGTATGATGCAGTTAAAATATAAGTGGTAATCCTTTAAATGGTACTTTATATTGCCATATCTCAGCTATGTGATTAGCTTAATTTTGCTCATTATAGATGTAATATATGGGATTTTAATGTAATTTTTTAACCATAACAAGGAGGCCTGTTTAACACCATATTGTAAGTCTGCCTTCACATTGTAAGCTGAACTGTAACATTTACTGCAGGATTTGAAAGACTTCATGAGAAAGGCTGGAGAGGTTACTTTTGTTGATGCCCACAGAAACAATCCAAATGAAGGGTGAGACAATGTTTTGTATCCAGTGTAGTGAATGGTTTCAAACCTGTTTGGAACACATTTAGTGGTGGGTGGGTATATAGACCCGATGGCATAGAACAACCAGCTTTTAAACGCTGTTACAGCAAGGATGGGCAAAATGTGGCCAACACATCTGGGGTCTCCAGCTTTCTCCCCCCCCAAAAAAAAACACATTTTAATCGTTTTCCTGGGAAAAGAAAGCTTTGTCCAGAAGCTCCATTTAGGCATTGAGGGACTTTCTGTATTTTGAGTGCGATCCAGGCACTGTGGAGAGCACCATACTCCCAATATAATTTTTTTAATTATTTCTCGAGGGGCACTAAAAACTTTTTTCCATTTCAAGAAACCATTTTTAAACAAAAACCTAGTTTATTAACATTTTTCAAAAAAAACTGCAGTGCAAATTAGCCTCTTTGAAAGACATCTCTCAGCTCTTCTGAAGTGTCCTTGCCCTCTGCTATACAGCAGAGTGTGCTGCTGCTGAAATTCAGAATCCCAATATTTTAGGTGCAGAAACGTATTCCTATCATTCATATTGAGTGATCCAAACAACATAAGAGGGTTATCTGTTGTTGCAATATATAAAAGTTCCAAAGAAAGAAAGTTGCTTACTTTTGTTTCTTTATGTTTTAAATTGAGTTCTCTAGAGAATGATGTCAAACTTTTTTACTAGAAATACAGAGCTTATGTGGAATTTTTAAAGGAAGAAACAGCATATTTCCTGTTCTCTCAACACTTCAAGCCATACTCTGGCATTCTTAATGTAATATTGCAACTTGTGAGCATTGGGAAAAAGTAGGATCACTCCTAGTCTAATTAGTAAAATAAGCTCTCTATAATTTTTGAAACTTTAGTCAATGCAAAATATTTCTGTTAATATAAAAAATCTTTAATGGCTGTAGCGTTGTGGAGTTTGCATCATCCAGTGACATGAAGAGTGCATTGGACAAGTTGGATGGCAGCGAGTTGAATGGGCGCAGAATTAAACTAATTGAAGATCGCAAAAGACGCAGGTATGTTGTCAGACAGCAACATTTTACAGCTGAGAAATAAATAAAATGTGAGCATATCACAGGGAAAATGTTAAATATTTGAGAAATATTGTTGCCCCTCCGAAAGGATGATCTGAATAAATGTATCCCTCTTCAGGCATTATCTAATCTAGTGTGCTGTCAAAATGTGTGGGGGGGGTGACTACCCCACCCTGCACTTCCTCTGCATTAGCAGCAATAAGTTTGAACAGGAGAGGTTCTTGCTGAGGTTTGTTTTGTGGTCAAGCATTATTTTTTCATAGAGCTGGTCTTTGAGTAGTATTACCAGTATTAACAAATGTTTCCTGACACTGGGAAGATGCAGAAGAGAGGAGCGTAGGCATAGGCTGTAAGAAGGGTGAAAAATACTACCTTTGAAAATCAAAGCATCAAATATGAAGCATCTGTGCAGTTACATATAATCATTGTCCAAAAAGCTATTGGATTATTTTCTCACACAGTCTTTCATCCAGCCCTCTCTCCAACATTTCACTAATGTGTGTGGTTATGACAACATTCTGTGTATCTTATAATTCTTGCAGAGTGGTAGTTACCCCCAGTGTGATACACCATGAACTTAGTTTTTTAATTGATTCTGCCCATGAGAATGTACGGCAGGACAAGAAATATGTAATAAATTGGAAACTTTTCAGAGGCAACTAAACAAATTTATACCTTGCTGAATGAGAAATTAAGCTTCACAGAAGGTTTAAACATAGAAATGGTTGCATACCCGTATTTTTCGCTCCATAAGATGCACCTCTCCATAAGACGCACCAAATTTTTAGGTGAAGAAAACAGGAAAAAATAATCTGGGAATTTCGCTCCATAAGACGCATACACTTTTTCCCCAATGTTTTTTGGGGGGCAAGTGCGTCTTATGGTGCGAAAAATATGGTAATTTTTCCCTTCACTCCAGTTTTGATTTGGGAGAAAGACTTCATTTCCATCCTTGCTTACAGGAAACCAGCAGTATGTGCGGCTAGCTATACAAATGACACACAGTCCAGTAGTCAGTCATTCAACAGAAAAATCCATAATGCTCAATTAACCCTCTTATGATGCTTTTGTTTTTTCCCCTAGCACGTCCCTCTGGGATAGAGATGGGAGTGGGGGAAACAGGGCTACCTGGCTCAGTGGGAGGGAGAAGTGGGATTTTCAAGAATTAAGTTTGCTCACTCATCCTGGAAGCACTTGTAAGCTATCATACAGAGATCAGCTGCATTTCACACCTTCTCTTGAGAGGCTCCACTCAGTTCTGCAGGCAGCACAGTTTGCCCATCTGTGGCTGCGGCTAGTGTAGCAGTGCAAACAGCAGGAGGCACCAGCAAAAGCAAAGGGGATCTTTCAGGTGATGTGTGGGAACAAGCACATAAATTCTTGCCTGAGAGAAAGATCCAAATACTGGCTTCTTCATGACAAGATGGTCTCATTAAAACAGACCAGCTAAGTAACTCAATGGAAGTTGAATCAGCAATAGTTAGATCTGTGGTTTTTAAAGTGCAGTAGATAACAGGAGCTAATGCTAGATAGCTGCACTTTGAAGGTCCAGTTTGAGACACTGTGCTTAGTACTGATGAAGTTACAAGTGACAATGATTGCAGGTTCTGCACACTCAGCTGTGTTTTTTTTTAGTACCCAGCGAACAGTCTACAGGTCCCTTCAAAAGCTCAAATTAACAGCAGGTTATATCAGAGATTCACTCTTTAAGCGTCGTTCTTTGCTCTTGAAGAAGGTGCACATGGATTAAAGCAATAGTTGGGTTGTCGTCCCCAGATCTTCTTGAACTACAGCTATTAGTGAAGGCTTCTGGGAGATTTAGTCCAGGAACATCTTAGGACCCAAGGTTGGGAAGCACTGCACTAAAGGATCAATTTGAATCCAAGCTCTAATTCTTCCTGTGGCTAGAGCAAGAAATGGGAAGAGTGGAAATGGAGGAGTCTGTCTCTTTGTGCCTACTTCTTTTTTTCCAAAGATTTGCACGCCAGCAAGCAATAAGTACAAGGAAGGGTACGAAAGAGACACCTGTGTTCTCAATATTTTCAGTAAAGATGGGGTACTAGAAATGTAGCTCAACTGAAATGATCAATGTAGGCGCTTACTTAATCTGTTGGGATAGGTGTTAATAGTTTAGTAGACGTTTATCAAAACATTTACTGTATGTGATGCTGGATATAGACTGTCACATAATGGTTACTTTTTAAATTTGTTCAATCTGTATTAGGAGCAGATCTCGTTCCCGAAGCTATTCAAGATCTCGCAGCAAGTCAAGATCTGCAAGGTCTTCTAAATCAAGCAGCAAATCTCGTTCTCGAAGTCGAAGCCGTACTCCTGAGAAAAGGCGCTCTCGAAGCCGCTCAGTTGAAAGAAAGTCCAGTGAGAAAAATCAACAGTCTGGCCCACAAAATTCCTCTCCATCTCCACCCCCAGTCAAGAAGAGGTCTCGCTCTAGGTCAAATTCTGCTGAAAGCCGCAGTTAAGGTATTTTGAGAAGTGTATAAATACTTCATTTCTAAGTCAGATTTTCTACAAGCTTGAGTATGTTGCAAAGGGGAGAGGGTTAAATTGTTAGGTGGATATAAATTTGCCCTCCCTCCACTCTCAACAAGCAAATTGTAACCAATAATAATTGATGAATATAAAAAATTAAAGTGGCAAATTATCATTGCCCAGATGCACTGTGTACTACTGTAGGTGAAGCATCGCTGACTAAAGCAGCACACATTGGAGTTTTGTTTTTGAACATGATGATGAACTGAAAAATGTAGAGTGTGGTACCACTTTTCCAAGTCCTTTGGCTGTGCTTCTTGACTGGATATAGATTTCCTTCTATTTGGCAGTAAACAACCATAATGATCTGGCTGTTAATACATAGATTTGAGAATCTCCACATAGCATTCCCAATACAACTACAATAGTATCAGGAGCAGGTTTTTATTTTGAATGAACAATTTTGCTTATTCTAAACTAATATTTAGATGAAAAGTAGCATTCAAAATACAGACAGGGAAGCTGTATAATATTTTTCTGATTAAATGTTAGTTTAGAATAAGCCATAGTCAATAAGTGTGCCTCTGATTGGAGTTTAATCAAATGGTGTACCTCTGATTGGAGTTTAATTCAAATGGTTCACTGTTTTTCACAACTCTGTTCCTGTCACAAATTATATGAACAGAAGAATACGTTCAGTGCAGTAGATTATTTAACCTGTTACCAGGGAAGGCCTCATTTTATAGAGGAGGCCCTTCAGAAATTATAAAGATGTCACCTTTACTGAAATTTCAGGTTTTATTTTAACATTGCAAACAGCATTGTTATATATAGCCATCAGAGTGTGACACTAAAAATTTCAGGCACATGGGGTAGCAGAAGCAGTAAATTTTCAAATTTAATAGGCAAGGATTATTTCCAAACTGTCAAGACAGTTATCCAGTAATAGTTTAATGTGATGTGAATTTATTAATGCTAAAGCGCAAAAGGGCATTTCCTTTAGGTTTACCAAACATGTTTCAGTTTTATTAGTATGTAGTATTTTCCTAATCCTTTGTGATCATTAGACCATCTGGCTTCCACATACCTGAAATGAGGGAATTTGCTTAAATTTTTTGTAAACAGCCGAAAATGTCTAAATGTTATTGATGTGATACAGTAAGTACAATAAATGTTTCTCCGCTGCTTACTGCAGCTTCAGCTATCTTTCTGTGTTGCATATTAAAGCTTAAGTTTGTAAACTTATTTCTTGTTAGCTAGTTTTTATTTTCAATAAAATTGATACATAATTAAATCCTAAGTGGTTGATCATTGTTCATTCACTAAAAACAGAACTCCTGGCCGGCTCTAAAGCAGCTCTAACAATGACAAGTTTCACACTGGGGGTTCATGCGGGGGAGGGGGAATCAAAAATAAAACTATTACTACCTACTATCATCATATTGTTACCTAAATCTGTAGTACAGCCACATCTCAAATATTTTTATAAATATTATCCCTTCAAAAAGGGATTACTTTCTCCCCATGTAAGCACCACAAAATCTCTCAGTCCCTTGCCATTGGAGACACATTTGGTGAAGACTTGAGAAAGGGCATTTTCAGTGGCTGCTCCCAGTCTATGAAATTCCCTCTCACAAAAGGCTAGGTTGGCTCCTCCTTAAAGCCCTTCCACCAACATATGAAAGCCTTCCTTCTTCATCGTGGTCTTCTGTGAATGCACACAAAAGGGTCAAGTCAGCGCCAGCATCAGTCCCTTCAGAATGTTCTCGAGCTCTGTAGAAAAAGCAACATAGTTTAATACTGCCTATACTGCGCATGCTCCGCCCGCTCAAGCCTCAGTTCCATTTCTCCGCCGTGCGAAGTGGTTCCTTTCGGCTTTAGCTCTTCTAAATTCTATTCACTGTTTGTTTTACTGGGTTTTTTCGATCTTGGCGTGCTTGTGACTACTCTTTCTGCCTTACAGACTCTGTTTGGGTGTTCCGTTTTTTTTCCCCGTTGCTCTGGTGGGGGTTTACCCTTTTCCCACCATTTTTACCGGCTGAGTCTTGGTTCTTCGGTCTCTGCCTATGCCCCTCCCACTATCTGGCCCCTTTAGCCGGTGCGTGGTTTGCTCTGGAAAAATCCCCTACCACGACGGACACGACACCTGCCTTTTTTGCCTTGGGGAATCGCATTCATCTAAAAATTGCAAGCACTGCAAGGCTTTTACTAAAGCTGCTTCAAAGGCACGGCAGCAAAGGCTAAAGTTGCACTTGTGGGATTCTGCTCTCTCAGCTTCCAAACCGTTCGCTATGGAGCTCCCGTCTCCCACGCCTACCCCCCCGTGCTAAAGGTAGTCCTCACCAGTTACCTGCAGTTAATCCTCCTGAGGCATCTGTTGCCAAACCATCTAAGAAAGCTGTGGCTAAGAAGACGTCTTCTTCTAAGGCTGCTTCAGTCCCAAAGTCTGCAAAACAAACGAAGACCAAGCAGTCAGTCAAGAGTAAAGATTCTGCCCAGCAGCTTGCTCCCATTTCTTCATCTCCCCCTTCGCCAATTTTGGAGGACTCATCTAGGGACAAGGATTCCATGTCGGAGGCAGCCCCTTCGCTCCCTCCAAGGCAAGCAGAGCCAGTGATAACCCTTGGCGCTCACGCCAAGCCAGCTTGTTCAGGTCACTGCAAGCTTGGGTTCTGCCCCTTTGAGCCCTGTTTCCACCGGGCGGGCATCTTTGGCTCATTCCGTGTCTCTGATTCCCTCCTGTCCAACCTCGCTGCTGAGGAAGAAAGCAGAAAAAAGGAAGCATGTCTCTGGCGATCGACATTGATCACCTTGCAGGGACAGCAAAGGGAAACATCGTTCTCGACGTAGACACAGATCCTCTTCGGATGATTCATCCACCTCGGGATCAAGGCACAGGAGGCACAGACAACGTCGTAGAAGGAATTCTTCTACTTCCTCTTCAACATCATCAGACCATGGTCGACGTCGACGTCATGTTAAATACATATATGTCTCATCTTCATCTGCATCGACCCCCCCCCCCGCAAAAGCATCAACGTTGATGCCAGGAGGAAGCTGAGAAATTCCCTCATATAGCCCCAGTTGGGGTTAAACTAGTGAATCCCCCTATTGTTTCTGCTTCGATGTCGACAGCACTGCCACCTCCACAGTGTGCTACTACTGCGGCGCTCGACGTCAAGCCTCAACATCAAAATAGGAGCCATGAGGTTTCGTCTGAAGATGAAGTACCATTCTCTTCTCAAGCCTCTGATTCTGATGGTGACCTGCCTCAACAGCCAAAGACTGATGAGTTGCCTGTGGGAGAGACGGTCGAATCTGACACTGGTCATCCGCATGATTCCTCGCCATCTGAGGATTTTTCTTCCTACTCCCAGATGTTATCGAGACTAGCGAAGACTCTTTAAGTTGCATGTGGACGAGCCCCCACTTCCGGAGGAGGATCTTATATTTGGGGACATTAATAAGGAACGCTCCCCACCTCCTAGTTTATCCTATTTACCAGCTTTGTTGGGACTTATTAAGGAATTCTGGGACCATCCCTCGGTCTACCTAGACGCACTGAGAATATGTACAAGATCATTGGTGTTGATGCTAAATTTCTTCTGAAGCATCCAATTCTGAACTCCCTGATAGTTGAGACCAGCTGTACCAAACCGACTGGGAGAGCTCATGTTATTCCAACGAATAAGGAAGGGAAGAAGCTAGAGATGATAGGCAGACAGCTCTACTCCCTTATTTCCTTCATCCTGCAAGTGGCTAATTACCAGACTGCCTTAGGTGCTTACCAGAAGCAGCTATGGCTGAAAATTCTCCCAGGTTTAAAGTTGTTGCCTGAAGATGTTAGGCAAGGGTACCTCAAGACCTATGAGGAGGCCCAAACTGTTTCCAAGCATCAGAGAATCGCCACCAGACATTCGGTGGAGGCGGCTGCTAGGATTCTTGTATCTGCTGTCACTCTTTGCAGACATGCATGGCTTTGGTCTGCAAATATTCTTGATGACGTGAAGACCAAGGTGGAGGACTTACCTTTCGATGCCTCGGGTCTTTTTAATGAAAAAACTGATGGTCATCTCGAGGAGCTACATAAGGCTAAGAAGACGGCCAAATCTTACTATATTCAGCCTCAAGCCAAATATAATAGATACCAATGGAAGAAACCTTATAATCAGTTCTATCCATCCCATCAATAAAAACAATTCAAAGGTCAATCTCAAGCTAAACCTTCTAATACTGCATCTTCTACAAATACTTACCATTCACAGAACTCCCAATGACATCAGTCCTATAAACCACCTGTCAAGAAATCGAAGCAATATCTTTGACTCAACCACAATAACATACATGCCAAATCCTACAACAAGACTTCTACTATATCTGCAAAACTGGTCCATCTTTACAAAAGACTCTTGGGTTTTAAACATTGTACAATTCGGGTATCTGCTGGAATTTATAGAATATCCTCCTCTAGGGCAGGTAAATTATACCTCATTCGATCCTACTCTAGAAGAAGAGGTTCTATCTTTGCTAAAAAAGAATGCCACTCAGAAAGTTCCCAAAAGAGACATTGCAAACGGCTTCTACTCAA